AAAAAAAAACGAAATCTGATGAAAAAACTAAAAGAGATAGGAAATCAAATTTTAAATATAAAAAAATATAAAATTATTATTATTATTATAAAAACAAAAAATTATACTTTTTATGATAAACATGTTAATCAAAATATTCTCTGAAAAAAACACGTTTAATGTAAGATTTTTTAAAATGTATGTATTAATTCTTCCAAGAGCTAAACTTTCTGTTAGGATTTATTTTTTTGCAAAGTAAAAATTGTATATGTTAAAAAATTTCCTGCGGGGTTTCTCTCTATTAAATACGTATACATGTATGTATGTACTCCAACACAATCTTTGCATTGTGTAGGTCGTTCGCACACGATGCACCCCAAATGCCAAAGTTTATAGACGCTTTGGAATTTTAGCATTACTGGCCCGCAGCCAGCAGCCAACACAAAAGCATCTGGCAGCAGCACCGCCACCACTGCACCGCAGCACTCTAACAAATTGTTTAACGGCAAACGCCAAGCCATGGCAGGTAACCAGCCACAGTTATGTGGCAAGCAAAGCCAACGCATGCAGCTAGCCAGCCAGTGGCGTCTGTTAGTTAGTCGCTAGTCGGTGATCGCCAACACTTATATAGATATGTACTACATTAACCAACATTAATATATACATAAGTATGTATGTACATATGTTTGTATGTAGTTATCTACCTACTTGGATTATGCAATGTTGCACGTTGCACTACGACTACCAACCTGCTGACTCTGCCCTGTTGACTGCGAAAGCTTGGGAAACAAGTTTTTGCACCGCATTGCACATTCTTTAGCCGCGGCAGGCGGCGGCAGACAGACATTCAGTCAAACAACATTCAAATGCCGCCAATAGGCTCAAGCAGCGCTTAATAGAAACAACAAGAGCAAGCAACAAAGACAAGCTTACAAGGAGTAGAGTTGTCGAACAGCGGCGCGTACATACTTACATACATACATGCCGTGAACAGCTGTAGGCAAGCGTAGCGCATAGAAAAATTAAAAAAAAAAAATCGAAAACTATGAGAAAAGCAACTGCATTTAGTTTTAGTGTTAATGCTGTAAATGCACTTTTATGCTTTTATGTGTTGCTGCTGGTTCATCCTTGCAAAGGCAAGCAGGTTCCACTTTTTCTTTTGGCTTTGTTCGCATGCAAGTTTGCGCAGTTTTTCGCATTCCATTGCAATGTTATTTGTTGTGGTTTCTTCTCGTCGTTTTGACTTAACGACTGCTGCGTTGAGAAAATGCATTTTATTTCAAAGATATGTACATATGTATGTGTGCATATAAATGAAAGCAATTTCTTTAATGAACTAATATCCGAGTCAAAATGGCATGCAAACTACAACCAATCATTGGATTAGACTAATCATTGGAGTACAATTGTGGTGCTATGACTGGCAATTAAATATTTATCGCCTTCGATGGGCGATGTTTTCGCCAGATTTTTTTTTCCTGTTCTACGGTTTATCGCAGGGACGTTTCTTAATTATGAGTTCTATGAAAAAAATTTATATTTAATTATTATTATAGGATTTTAAAATTTGTGATCAATAGCTTCGTCCCGCCGATAACCATTTATTTTTATTTAAACCTTTTGGTCCAGTCTTTTCATCAACAATTCACGTTCATAACTTCCAGTGACAATGTCAGCGCCAAGCCTTCCGATTTTGTGTTTATGACCGAAACTCCACATTTTTTTCATATGCAGCAACTATAAATGGAACTTCTCTAACCTAGCCTACATATTTTTTTTTCAATTTTACTATTACGATCAAAATTAAGAAAATCAAAAATTCCCTATACAAAATCTATGAAAAATACATTTTCCGGAAGTTTATATTTTTTGTAAATTTTTTCGTGTTTAAAAAGATTCTTTGGGCAGAGAAAAACACAACAAAAAAGATATTTCAATAGGACGATCCGTTCTAGAGTGCCAATCAAAAAAAAATCAATACCATGAAAACTTATTAGAAAAGCGGTATCGCGTTTTGAGTA